GGGAGGGGAATGAGTTATGCTTCTCCCATAGAAGTCTGCTTATGTTTAAAAAGTTTTAATTTTCCAGGAAAAAGGAGTCAGGGAAATAGGACAGTCTTTAATAGATTGTGTTAAAAAAAAAAAAAAAAAACCCATTGCCCTTGATGCCATGTGTGTCAGAATAGAACTGTGCTCCATAAGGTTTTCATGGCTAATTTTTCAGAAGTAGATCACCAAGCCTTTCTTCCAAGGCACCTCTGGGTAGACTCAAACCTCCAAACTTTTGGTTAGGAGCTGGGCACATTAACCTCTTACACCACCCAGGGACGCCAGTAAATAGGGTAGACAACTGAAAATCTTTTTATCAGCCTTTTACTGTTAATCTTTTGCATGTTCAAAACTTAAAATTTTTTCATAAAGCAAACAATAGCATTTAAAATTACAAAAACAGGACTGGAGAAACCCTGAAAGTATGGCCCCTGGATAGCGTTTTAGGTCAGTACTGAGGTCACTCCTGAGCCTCACCTTTCAGCTGAAGATTAGACAGGCCCGTAAAACAAAACGAGACTAAATGGGCACATCAGCCCAGGGGCAAGGACAAGAAGGCAGGAGGGGATGGGAAAGCTGGTAATAGGGAGCCCAAGGTCAAGAAGGGAGAGTGTTGACATGTCGGGTTGGCAACCAGTATCACAAAACAATATGTGTTTGTACTGTTCAGTGAGAAACTGATTTGCTCTGTAACCCTTCATCTAAAGTACAATTTAAAAACAGTCTAAAAAGAATTTAAAAATAGAATCACAAAAACAGTATTTAGGTTTTCTAATACTTCTTAATACAGTTAAAGTAAGATCAGTGAGATTCTGGGAAATTAGTTTACATCCATCTTGTATGAGTTGTTTGAAGGACCACATGGCCCCACTTCTGTGAACTTCACAGGCTATCCAGCATTTGGCAGGATTGGCGTTTATCAAATAAGTACACCATTGGCATACCCACACAGCAGATGGAGCTTAAAATGAACTGATGCGAAGTCTCCCAGGTAGATAATTAGCAAGTGAACTGAAATGCTGCAGCTCCTGGGCATTCTGTCATACACACACCATCACACCTCTCCCACCCTCCACTCCTCCTTGAATTTTTTTTTTTTTTTTAGTATCCTGAAGTGTTAAGGTTGGTTGAGACAGGAAAAAATTATGAATTTGGAAGTTACTGATGCTTTATGACAAAGCAAAAGAATTCTGTGAGCTCAGCTCCTTGGTCATAGAGCTACTCTTATGAACCAAAGAAAGCACTTTTATATTGAATAGATACATTGTTTTAAATCAGCACAGTATACATACAATGAACCATCAAATTAGGAAATCTTCAGAGTAGTTGTATTAATTGATTTTAATTTAATGTAGCTGTTTCCGTTTTTATTATGAAGATCAAATGAGAAAAGAAGCTGATTACCTCCCTTTACCTTCCTGCCTGCACCTAGTCCTTGCCCGACTTCTCTAGGCTTATGATAACCTTATTCTTATCTCGGTTCTCTTACTCTTTCCCTTTTAGTGTCTATTTCAGTCTTCCTTTCATTACCACCTATTGTGTCCTAAACATGTGGTGTCTTTTTAGGGAAACTGACATTGTTCTTGGGCATTTAGGCTACAGTCTGTGCCCTGGTGTTCCTTATGTTTGCTCAGCCTGCCCAGTTTTGACCATCAGTCGGCCTCACTTAACGTCTGGAACCCCTGAGGAACTGGGACCTCCCAGCTTGTGATAAAAGTTTTATTTGTTCTGTTTATTTTTGGCTGGTCAAGTCTTTAACGTTCATTGAATTGCCTCTTTGTACAATCCACCTTCCACATGACACTGTGCAATTTAGCTTCTTCCTCAAAACTTGTCCATTACAGTTTATTTAGCATTTGTTTAGCCCCTGCAAGTTCATACTTTTATATTTATTCTTTAATGATCTTTGTAGGTACCAGAGTTCAGATTTCACATACTGGCCTAGAAATGTAAATAAAAGGACTTTAAAGTACCTAACATACTTGGTTTATTGTCCTCACTTTTGACCTGGTACTGTTTCTTCACCCTAAACCCTATGACCTCGAAGCTTTAAAATTAACATTTAGGCAGAGTTCTATTTGTTTGTTGTGGTGGGGCTGTCCTGTACATTGAAGGATGTTTAGCATCATCCCAGGTTTCTATCCACTGGATGCCAGTAGCCCTGTCTCCTTCCTCCCCCTCTCCCCCCAGTTGTGACAACCAGAAGTGTCTTCAGACCTTGCCAAATGTCTCCTAGTGGGCAGAACCACCCCTGGTGGAGGACCACTGGTGTAGGGTCTTCTTTGTTGTATTTCCACTTCTGCAGTGATCTCCTCACAGAAATTTAGAATGGTCCCAGAACTACAAGTATCTGTTTATCCAGAATGGTTTGAAAATGGCACGTTTAGGATCATTCATTTATTCATTCAGTGAACATTTATTGAATGCTTACCAGATAACCATGCTAAATGTTGGGAAGATAGAGCTGTATAAAACATGGTCCCAGTGCTAGACTAGACTTTCAGTTATTCAAATTACCATGTATGACTGCGATGCCGTGTCCTAAACAGAGGAAGAAAAGTTAACAGTGCTGTGCATGTAGGAGACTTAATACTGAGTATTTGTTGCTATCTGAACGAATGACCATACATAATAGAGTGAGCATGGGCTATAATCAGAGACACCTGCATTCACAGTTTGCTGCCTACTGTTTTCTGGTCACATAACCTTGAGCGAATTACTTAACATCTCTGAAGCTTAAGTGATGTAACAAGTATAGTTCTTGGTGAAATCCCAAACATAAATGTTAAAAAATGGTGGCTGCCAGCTACCACCGACTGCTCTGTCAGGGATCACAATAGAGGGTCCTGGACAGCTGGAGAAAAACGTAGAACAAAATTCAAACACAAAAAAAGACCAGACTTACTGGTCTGACAGAGACTGGATAAAACCCTGAGAGTATGGCCCCAGACACCCTTTTAACTCTACTGAAGTCACTCCTGAGGTTCATCCATCAGCCAAAGATTAGACAGGCCCATGAAACAAACAGTAAGCACGTAGCTCAACCATGTATACAATACTAAATGGGTACACCAGCCCAGGGGCAAGGATGAGAAGGCAGGAGGGGACAGGAAAGCTGGACAAATGGAAATGGGGAACCCAGGGTCTAGAAGGGGAGAGTGTTGACATGTTGCGGGGCTGGCAACTAATGTCGTAAAACAATATGTGTAGTCCTTGTTTAATGAGAAACTAACTTGCTCTGTAAACCTTCACATAAAGCACAATAAAAAAAGATTGTGGCTGCTTTTATTGTTATTATTATTTAATTATTACTGCTGCTTATAGAAAGGATCCCTGAATGCTGAATCTTGAATGAGTGAATAACGGATGTATGTCAATAAACAATTTTCAAAAATGTGAAAGGAAATAAAATGTCTCTTTTGTGAGGCCAGCTACCCAAGTCATTTAGCATTGAAACTGCCTCCATGGTAGGAGCTAAAGGTTGAGGGCTAGAGGCATAAGGTTCTGTAAGCTTTGGAAAAGAGAACTAGTTGAGAGAATCATAATGTGTCACATGTACAGGAAGGATTCGGAAAAGGTTTCTAGGCAGACTCGGTCACAGGTCAGAGTCTTGTTCAGATGAGCAGTATTTAGCAAACTCTACAGACTGTGAGTTTGGAATTGAGTCTGGATATTCTTAAAGCTGTACCTGAAATCTTTCTTCACATTGCTCTCTTCCTTCTTTGAACTCTAGATTGTTTGTATGTTTTGTTTTTCACATTTAATAATGTACTACTTTGTATTATTATTTAAATATTCGTAGAATGCCTTGCCTTCAGAATTAAAATTAGCTGGTTGAAAGCAATGTATTTATACAGATGCTTCTCAGAGCCATGTGCCCAATTAATAGTAGTTCATATATTTGGTTAAGAGCTTGGCTGCTAATCAAAAAAGATCGGCAGTTCGAATCCACCAGTCTCTCCTTGGAAACCCTATGGGGCAGTTCTGCTCCATTTTATAGGGTCACTATGAATTGGAATCAACTCGACGGCAACAGATTTGGTTTTGATATTTTTTTTTATTACAAATAAATACAATTTTATTTATTTTTTTCATGTGCTTTAGGTTTACAGAACAAATTGGTTTCTCACTATACAGGGAATACATACACATACTGTTTGGTGACATTGTTTGCCAACCTCACGACGTGTCAACACTCTTGCCTTCTCGACTTTGGGTTCCCCATTTCCATTCATCCAGCTTTCTTGTCCCTTCCTGCCTTGTCCTTGCCCCTGGGCTGGTGTGCCCATTTAGTCTTGTATACATGGTTGAATTATATGTGTTATTGTTTGAATAAACACTATTTTAAATAACGTGCATGAGCAGCAGTGTATCAAGTGATTCTTACCTGTATAAAGCACTTGTGAGATCGCAAGGCAGAGTTGACCTCTCCTTAACTTGCCATTTGGTATACTAGAATCTGTGTAATAGTAATTAAAAAAGGTTTTCAAATTTGCCAGGAAGAAAAAACAAACTTGTTTTTCTTTCATCTTAATCTATAGCCTAGAATTATTAAGAAAATTAACCAGTTATTAATATCGAGGACATACTAAAACATGCGTAAACACACATATATCATCTATCTGATATTAAAAATGATTTTTGAGATAGGGCATTGTCCTTTTTACCAATGGCTATTTATATACAGTGCCAAATTCCAAGATTGTTATGGCTTTGAAAGTGCTTTGGAATTTTACTTTTGGCAATACTGTATATACTTTCTCTGAAATTCACCTTCTTTGTTAGAGTTGCGTACTCAAATAATTTGTAAATATGAATGTATTTGTGTGTTATCTTACACCTATGTTAGACTGATCATCTACAAGGTTTGAAGCTGAGATTTTTGAAGCTAATTTAGCATGTGTACACTCATATAAGAGAAGTGACAGTGTCTGCTATGACAGCATGACTAGTATAATTAGTAATCCACCCTTTTAGTATTTGGAATGTTTTTTCTAAAGCTTGTTGAAAAACTGTAAAGTTTACAGAACCTTCAGAATGCTTTTCAGATAATAAGCAACTTGCTTCATCTGGTATCTCTGTTATTTCTTTTGTTTTGATTGTTTTTTAACGCAGAAAAGCTTCACTGGCCCAAGCAAGAACTTGCTAAAACGTCTATTCTAAATGCTGAAGATTCATTGGTCATTCACAGCAAAAGAAGCATCCCGCATTTATCCCCTGGAGTGCTAAAGGACATTTTCACAACTGGAACCAGTAGCTACAATGTCTTCCTGCAGAGTAAAGAAGAGAAAAAGCATCAGTCCCAAAAACAGTCTTCCTGTACCTACTACAAACGATACAGAAAACCCATCAAATCTCCTAGCTCTTCTCGTAAAAAAGATCTTCGCAAGATGAAAGTCCCAGTGCCTGAGATGAGCAGTGGTAGCTGGTACTGCCTAGAGAGGCGGCCTGCTGTTTTTGTCACGAGTTCAGTGTCAAGTCCTGTAAAGTTCACCTATGATATCTCTGTTGCAGGGAACAGCATAGTGCTGCCACCTAAGCCCAGAAACAAGGTCAAACGGCGTCATTTCTCCACTCTTCCAAAGCCAAAGCAGCAGCCTCAGCTGTCTAGAAGTTTTGAAAAAGATGACGTTTCTGGAAAGAAATTTTGTATATTGACTGCTATAAAGCCCACCAACTTGGAGAAAGAAAAATTCAGGTTCTTCAAGTCTGACTATACCTACAATCCTCAGTTTGAATATGCTAATCCTGCTCTGCCAAGTGTGTTAGCCAAGCACAGCCAAGCTTCTGACCGATTCCTTAAGCAGGTAAAATGCCACTCCAGTAGTGATGTTTCATTTGTATGTAGCTAAGACAGTTGCAGTCTTACAAGCATAAAAGAAAAAATAAGTAAAAGACACATTTTTAAAGAATCCAATCATTTAGGTGTTATAGTCAGCTTTCACCGAGGGCATGTAGTTGTGTGTCAAGAAATCTCCAGGCGAGTGCCATAACCTATACATAAACTACTTTGCCCTAATCAAAATCTGTAAAGACTGTCAGGAAGCAACTATTAGGGAGAAACTGAATTCTGATTCCAAGCTTTCCGTTGGGAGTTACATACTTGTGGCCTAGTAGCCAGCCCACAGACAAGTGTGCAGTCCACTTACATTTTTGTGGTCTAATTGATTTTGAATGCCTTATATGAGGTATGCACTCTCTGGTTCTCCCTTTTGTATTACATTTCCAGCTTGTTTAGGCTCTTATAGACAGTTTTGAGAACTTGATTCTTGCCCATGAACTTGTTAATGCTTTACTAAAATTGTTAATTATCATATAAATACTTAAGAACTCATTTAGAGAAGGAAATAATGGGATTTTAAAAATTATCCTCAAGGTTAGCAAATCATGATATGAATGATGTGAATATTTTCTTTCGAGATTCCTCAATTTAGACACTGAGCACCTAGTTTTGTGCTGTAATAAACTCCATATATCCATTTAAGTATTTGAGGAGAAATTGTATCTTGTTTACTTTTAGGGCATAGTTTTGAAATCATAAAAGCAGACTACATTTGGTTAAATTAACTTTGTACAGATTTTTGCAATGTATTGTGAGTGACTGAAGATCTGTTCGTATGATAGGTAAAATGCGTGGTTCCATTTGCCTATGGTGCATGCCCTATTTTAGCATTTTTACTGACAACACAGTACAGTTCTTTGGACTTGTGGCCAGCAGATTTTTTACGGTTTATCATATATAACGTGGAATCTGACCGGTCTTTTGAAGCTATTATGTAAAAGCTTATTTTAAGATTTAAATATTTTTAATCTTGGTACTTTATTCTTTTGTTAGAAGAAATCTTTTCTACTGTTTTTGTATTTTTAAATGGGTACTCGCTTTTTATTTAATTAGGCTGAGATTGTGCCTTGAATGGACAAGTCAGTAATACACAGTTAGATTTTTTGGATGGGAGTGTTAACATAATGATTAAACACTTAGGTTCCCATATGTGCAAAATGGAGTGAAGAGAAGGTTATTTTGATGATTGAATGAGATAATGCTTAGCTCATATATAGCATTAGGCATAGTGCTTGGCCTGTAATAAGCAAAATGAAAAGATAAGCTTTTATTTTTATCTTGGCAGTCATTCTTACACATGAGGTTTTTGTGTGTGTCAAATTGCATTTGATTGAACAGAGCTTTTACAAATTTAAAATGTATGATAATTGTAAGAATGCCATTTGCTTTTTTAGCTCCTGAAAAAGATAGCCAAAATTTATTTACCAATATTCTTTAATTTGGTGTCCTACCCTAGCCTGGCCAGTTGGGAAGAAATTTCCCACTGTTAGATCAAAGTGAATGTACCCTCATCTCCCTGCAAGGCAATTAGGGAGCATCATCAGCCCCACAGATTGAGAATTGATACTGGTTGGCCTGTGGCCCTGCAATCTTTATTTTAACCCAGTTCCAGCTTCAGGAGATAAAACCCCCATAGTTGAGTTGCTTGAGACTTCTAAATAGCACCAGCAGTCCTAGCTGTGGCCACTACCTTACATGCACCGTCGGTGAGAATGCTCTCAACAAATGCCATATCTACAGCTGAAACTATTTAAAGAAATTCATCAGAACAAGGTCTCCCTGAAACTGCTTAAATTCCTATTCAGCATCTGCGTGAATTATGACATGATGTCATACATCCTTCCCCTCCCCGGCTGTGAAGCTAAAGCAGCAGCTTCAGGGCTGCTCTCCAGGACTCTGAGAAATGTGCTTCCCAAGGGGACAGAATGGCCAAGTAGCCCCATGGTCTCTGGCCTTCACCAGCAAGACCTTGCCAACCCCCAGCTGACAGTCTACTGAGTTTCACAATCTGGATCCTTCGGAAGCAAGTGATCTGTATTGTTGGAGGATGACTGGTCCTCTTCAGTGCACAGATTGGCAGAATGACGCTGGACTTCCCAGGCGCACATAAGTCTACCACAGTGGACTTGAGGCACTGCTCAGACTCTGGCCATCCCCTTTAGGTCTCCCCATCCATGCTAAGGAGTTCTAGGACCTCTTTGATTTATAATTGATGGGTAGGCTCTTGCCCTGCAGGAGAGAGATGGACTCGACCTCTGAAATTTCGCCTGCGCACTGTGGTGCAGGAAAAGTGTTTATATTTTTACTTTTGCCCCCGCCCTTCATATTCATGTAATTGTCGTACAGTGTCTGTGCTTCAGTGTCCTCATCTATAAATTAAGGAAAATGGACTAAATGATCCTTGAGAGCCCCTTCTAGGACCACACACATCTCTCTTAAGTATCTAGTCCAAAAACAGTGTGGCTGATTGAATCAAATTCCCATTGCATGTCACATTATATATCTGGTTATGTCATTTATTTTGTAAAAATACTTAGCTCTTCTTCCACACACACATTAGTTACAGAAAAGTTCAGAGTTTCCACCAGTCGTGTTAACTAAAAATTTTTTCACTTCAGATAACAGTGCTTTATTAATGCAGTATAATAGTTTGCAAATAGTTTGGCTTGCTCAAGTTAATTTTCCAAATAAGTGAAATTTGTTTCTTTAGCAAAACCTAATGAAAAAATTAACCATTTGAATGTAGTTCTTTCTGCATTGTATATTCCACTTGCCAACTCAGGAGAATGCTTTTCAAACTTTTCCAAGAGGGAACAGCAGAGGTATGCGAGGAGTCACCAAGAGAGTCAGGATGGGAACAAATATATGTTTTACCTTAAATTCGTACAATTTTTACGTTACACTTCATAAGGTAGCCTTATTTTAATATAGAAAAATGAAATTTGCTTTTCTTCAAGTAAAATATATGCTTTCAGAATAAACAAGGAGCATCTTACCATGATTCTCTGGAATCTCCCTAATCTCCCCCAGTGTGAGAAACAAAAATAGTACTGAGGCATTGTTGACAAAAAGCAGCTGTTTGAATGAACTCTCAGGAGATTACATGTTAACATTATTCATTTGTAAGGTTAGCCCGTCACCAGAAATGCTGCAGCATCTTGAAGGAAAGCTAGACAAGGCGCATTCTGGAAGCACTGCATGCCTCAGAGCAAGCTGGGGTTCAGACTGCCTGGAGCCTGAGGGCACAAACTCTTAATTTGACAAAGAGACAAGCATATGGGATTACTAATAATAAAACGTTAAGAATGACATACTCTGGATTTCTTGTAGGGAAATATGTCCATGAGGACAAGAGTGTAGTTGTGGATGGGGGTTGGAAGAGAAAGCTGTAAGAAACAGTTCATTTTTAAAAAGGTGTCTGATGTCTCTCACAAAAGCCATTTCTATCAGACGTGAAATATCAACCACTTTAACAGTTAAGGTGGTTGATATTTAATATATTCTGTATTGAAGTGAAAAACTGTTCTTATGTCAATATAGTGTCCAAAAATTTTATTACTTATATGGTGGAAGTTAATGATTCTATGCTATCAGGTGTAACTTGGTAAAGTTCTTATAAAATCTCAGGGGTATTTAAAGTACAGAAAATAATGGATTCTGATTCTGATAAGCTGCTTTTTTTCCTGCACCAAAACAACAGCACACAACATTCTATGGCAGACAGTGCATTTTCGTTTAGAGCTTTCAGATATTCAAAGCAAGCACCTAGATAGACTAACTTCGTTGTGTTAGGAAGTAAGTTCTAATTTTCGTCTTCCTAGTTGGCACACTTTCTGTAGTCAGGATATAGGCCTGCAGGATCCGGGCAGGAACCATAAATGATTGCAGGGAGCTGGTTGAGCGCAGTAGCAAGTTGGAAACCAGAGAGCAGTTATTTATCTTGAGCCACGGTTTGTGTTCAGTGTTACCACATCTTCAGGGTTTTCAAGAGAAAGTGGAAACCTGAATTTTATGTGAAGTATTTCAGCTTATAAATGTTAACAACTAATTCAGTTAAACAAAAGCTGTCCAGACCAATGAAAACTTGTCTGTGGGCCAGTTTATCCTTTGGCTTCCCAGGTTGCTACCACTGAGGTTTACTCACCAATTCTGTTAAGCATAATAAGTTCAGTTTTATCAGGACCAGCGATTAGCAAAATGTTGTTGGTGCCACGGAGTTGATTTTTGACTCTTAGTGACCCCATGTGACAGAGTAGAAGCGCTCTGTAAGGTTTTCTTGACTGTAATCTTTAAGGAAGCCGATCACCAGGTCTTTCCACGGAGCCTCTGACTGGGTTCGAATTGCCAGCCTTTCAGTTACCATTTGAGCACTTGACTGTTGAACTGATGGGGTCCAGTCTCATGGTTTTCAACTTTATAGTGTAACTGGGATCAGTAATCCATTGTTAAATGCTCATTTTTTCTTTTTTTAAAAATTTTTATTGTAAATATATAGGTAACAAAACATTGGCCATTTCAACAGTCCATTTTCGTTTTTTGATAGGAAAAAACTAATTAGAAATCAAATGCCTTCACTGATCGCAGGATGTCCTGACATAAAATTGTTTAAGGCTAATTTATAATTGTACTAGTAGTGTTTTATTTTTGTAAACATCTAGTTGTCAAAACATTAGAGGAGAGGAAAAAGGAAGCCTTCTTTATACCTCCCACTAGATTGCTCAGTTTTCTTTTTGGTGAATTGCAGACCTTTCACAGATACCCTGAAGTCATAAGATTTTTAAAGATTGTTTTGAGTTTAATATATTCCATAATAGATTTGTGTATTAGGTTGGAGAAGTGGGGTCATTTCTTAACCTAATAACAAGAAAGATTTTCTTACAGATCAGAGATGGAAACATCCGAATCTGATTGTATGTCCTTGGAAGAAGGTTTAACCTTGATGACTCATTGAAACAATGTTTGTGG